CTAAGTTGAATGAATTTATTATGTAATGTGTTTTTATTACAATTTTAACTTATTTTATTTACAATTAAACATGGTATAGTGTTATGTATATTTTAGGTTGATGTATATTTTATGTTGACTAGTTCCATTGTTGGAGCATTTGTTGAAGATATTTGACTTGTTCTGTGTCCAGTGGTGTTGGCCTGTAATTGGATTTGCTTGAATGCAATAAATACTATACTATACTATAACAGTACTTATGATGAGGTAGCCCAGTTTCAATCTGCCAGTCAGCAGAGAGTGCTATGTAATTTCTGTGACATAGCAGCATTAGAATTTGAAGTTCTGAGCCTCAGAAATGCTAGCTTTTCAAAGCTGAAATCATTTGTCATCACACACTGGCTCCCATACAGAAGTGTGCAATGCACACTTCATAATCAAAATTGATTTATTAAGTATGTAAGTCTACAAAAAGTTACATTCACGTTTTAAAGTTGAACAGTATCTGTGGAGAGTTATTCCAGTCAACATTTATATATTAAGATGCATACAATTGCTTGAATTGCCAGGACTGCAATCAGTGCTGATTCTTTGAGTTATGAATCTATGTGCTAATCAGCATGAGTGTCTTCCATACAGATCTTCTAGACATACACATCAACCTGTTCACAGAATCCTTCACTTTTAGCAATAAACATCCTTGGCTCCCTAATTGTCCAATCACACCTTCCTACCTGCCCTTCACTTTGAGGTTATTCTCCTTGGCAACAAAACCTTTGTTAATTATCATTCATTCAGCTCATTCCTGAAATCCCACGGAATGACAGGCAAGCAGTAGGTGGAAGGTTTGGCAACAGCCACACACAGGGAGACAGGACAAGTTTCAGAAACTATCTTTCCATATTCAAGGATCCTTAAAAACATATGTAAATTTATCAAAATTTCAAGATCAATTTTGATTTCATGATCACAGTATACTACTGGACGCACACGAGAAAGTAAAATTCAGTTCAAATGCACTACACATACTTTCTCATATCAGGCTGATCTTGACTGCATTACCTGGGAAACAAAATGTGCCATGTCCAGTGGATCCTTGTGATCACTGATTAAGCACACTACAACAAGTATGTGTTACATAACCATTTGTGTACCTAGTGTGCATATTGTTATTCTCCAGAAGGAATCACCTTCATGTGGGCAGATGGTTTCCATACATCGTTGAAATACATCCAAATTCATAAGTGGAGGGGGGGGGAGCTGAACAAATGCATATGTTCATTTCATTCATTCATTCATTTGCATTCTGTTAATCCATACAAGGTCAAACCAACCTATGGGATATAGAACCTGTCAAGATACAAATATAATATAAACATAAAATAATGATATATACGTACATTCATAAAGACCACAATAAGGACATAAAGTAAAAACACAGTATTGCATAACAGCAGTGTCACAAAAACACATTTTGATCAAAGACACAAAGCAAAACACAGTATTGCACAACAGTGTCACAAAAACACAGTTTGAACAAATACACCATATAATAATGAAGACAATGAAACATGAATGAATTGAACTTACAGTGGGAAGACCTCCTACAACTAATCTAAATGTACAAAGGGCAAGAAATATAAAAAGAACCATATTCATTAGGAAGTTAATTGGTAATATTCATCAATACTATAGAATGCATGTTCTGTAAGGTAGGTTTTTAATGACGATTTGAAATGCTTAATATCTTTAGATAGCATTTTAATATTTAGTGGTAAGTGATTATAAATCTTACTTCCAGAAAAGAGTACTCCTTTCTGTACAGATGACAGATTTGTAGAAGGCAAGTGTAAATTGTGGTTGTAACGAGTATTAATATCATGAATATCAGAATTAGATATAAAGCAACTTCTGTTCTTGATGACAAAGACAAGTAGTGAGAATATGTATTGAGACTGAAGTGGCAATATTTGTAATTTTTTAAATAATTCACGGCATGAGTCGTATCTACCTGAGCTAGTAATAACTCTTATTATTCTTTTTTGAATTTTAAAAATACTGTCACTGAGATAAGAATTACCCCAGAAGACAATACCGTAAGATAGAATAGAGTGTGCATAGGAATGATAGATCGACTTCATTAAGTCTAAAGACATAAATGGTTTTATTGCCCTTATTGCATAACAAGCCTTATTTAGTCTTGATGACAGTTCAGTGATATGATCCTTCCATGACATTGTACTATCAACATTTAAACCCAGGAATTTAGTACAATTAATATTGGTAATCACTGAGTTAGAAGATATTATTTGCATTTTTATTTCTTTATGTTTTTTTAATAAGAATTGCAAGAAGTGTGATTTTTCACAATTCAGTGTTAAAAAGTTGCTATTGAACCAATTAATTGTCTCATTCAAGACTGAACTGACATTACTTTTAAATTCCTCAGGATTAGTGCTTGATATAATGATGCTGGTATCATCTGCAAATAATATTGGATTAGCCATTTTGTTTATGGTTAGTGGAAAATCATTTATGTAAATGAGAAATAGTAATGGACCCAATATAGAGCCCTGTATCTGCCAAATAACTCTCCAGATCAAAATTTTGCATAATAACAGTACTTTCTTACATATACTATGTATATGAGAGCGTAAAAGAATGAGATCTAGGGGATGGACCCTATATTTAGCAAAATATCAGTCATTTTGTCCAAAAGCTGAAGGAGATATGGTCACCCTCCCATACACAAACACACACAGAACATGCGTTTTACTACCTCACGTAGGCAGTATATGTGAGAAAAAACTGTGATTATGAAAAAACTGATCTGGAGATTCTGATGTATTTACATGTTTTGAGCCGCCTGACTATCAAAAAGTGGTTTTTGGAATGTCAACCTGTTTCTCTGTAACTATGGATGTGTGCCTCACTAGTGCTTGAATGGTTTTACATTTTTTTTATTCATATATGGTATTTAAGAGCTTATCCATTACAGGTGTAAGTCTAGTAAACACAGACATTCTAGCTCCAAAAATAAGAGCTCCAAGAAAGAAAATGGCGATTTTCTCAAAAATTGCTCAAAGTGATTTCAACCAAATTTCTGTTATTCCTTCAGACCATTACCATAAATAACATTACACAGGTAGCGCCTTCAGGAGAAAAACAGTATGTACATCAGGGGACCCAAACATGAAATGTTAATCTTTTCAAAAACTAGCTTGATAACAGTGATTAATTTTTAATCTTCTCTATAGCCAATTGGCACAAATAATGTGTCTGCAATTCTTGTATTGTATTTAAAAGTAACAGATAATTAGTATGAAATATTTAATTCAAGGATAAGATCCCTTAGGCAGTGGTAAAATGAACAGTAACTGTTACGCAATACGTACAGATGTCTAGCTTGTATAATCAGCAACCAACAATGGTCTACCAAATAAACTGATTTCGTTTCCACGGTAACATAATCAACGTCAATCACGGATGAGACGTGCAATGTGTCTGCACCAATGTTTCCCCTTAGGAAGAAAATTAGAATAAAGAGGAATATTACAGTACAGCCCCTTATTAAAAAGGCATCCTTGGGATTTACTTGCTTTTTGTCATTCATAATTGTATTCATTCTTGGCACTGCATTCCACCACAGTCAAACAGTAATTTTGTACAACATAAGTACATCTTTGAAAACTGGCGGTCTGGTCTCCTGATAATCAGACAGTCTTGGCAAAATAACTCCTCAAGGTTAAATGAATGAAATTCAATAAAGTGTGTGTGCATTATTTACAATACTGCAGGCCACTTTTAAGCAGTAATTCTGTTTCCAAGTGGACACTGAGTGCTGTCTAGTGGCCATGTAGTAAATTTACACTGGACACAATGCCTACATACAGTATGATACATTATGTGTATTAATAGTACTAAAACTAATTAAACTCTTCACAAGTTTAAATTTTACACTCTGGCATGTTAGAAACATTAACATTTTAATATAAAATATGAACTGTTTCATACACTAATATATGTTTAACAAAATTACAATTCTGACATAGTCATATCTTGTTGCATAAGGGTAAAAACAAAAAATTTCTGTTCCTTCTGTGGAGGTTGGAGGAGGGCACCTGCATGATCTATGGTGTGGACTTCCACATAACGTATTTTAAAACAGACTCGCAATATTGCAATTAATTTATTTTGCTCATTGTTATATTCTATTTCTTTGTGCCATAAATGCTTCAAAAATTCCACCTGTGTTTGCTTGGTAGACAGACAGGTTCATGTTTTTTATTTTCTTTCTTGTCTCATGTACAATGAGGATGTGAAATTAAGACATTCTTCAAACACTCAAGCAGCAGTTACAGTCACTATTGCAATAATGCTATTCAATCAGATAAGCGTTCATTTTCATTTATAATTTTATTTCACACAGTATGCCTTGCTATACCTTCAAATGACCTAGAGAGAATTGGTAACATACAATATTGATATATTTGGGTTACAGTGTTAGGAAATGTACACAACAATCAGTTCACATAAAATGCCTTTTACAAATTTATGATACATACCTTATCCAAAGAAAACGTTTTTGTTACAGCAAATGCCCAACCTGCTTCAAAAGCTCTTCGAATCATAGCGCTGGAAGTAGCTGGAGGCGCAGATGCTAGTCCAAATGGGTTGATGAACTTCATTCCACACATTTCAACACTAATATCTACATCATCAATAGGAGTGCAGAATTTTGGAAGTTGGGGCTCTTCTGGGATCTTCACCCCAACCAGATCCTGAAAATTGTTTTTTTTTTCCAGAAATTAGCTGGGTTCAGTAATCAGTGAGTCATGAAACAATCCAAATTTGTCCATTAGCATGTACACAAGGGCCTACCACTCTACCTTATCTGGTGCCAGAAGAATCCAGCCAACATCCTCGCCCTATTCCTTTATGGTATAACTTGGTATTATCCTACCATCTATGTCTAGGTCTACCAAAGTCCTATTTTCTTTTCAGATTTTCCAATTAGAATTCTGATTGCAATTTTCAGCTCCTTATCTCATCTTCCTTCACTCATCATATAGTGAAATCCCAAATTAAGGTTTCTTGATTTAAGGGCATCCTCCATTTCAGGTTCATTTTCATGGTTCCAGCCAGAGCCTCATATAAATAATGCATAATATTCTCCAATTTATTTTTCTTGTTCAAGTGTTTTACCCCAATTTAGTGAGAAAAAAGCTAAACCTTATACGAGATCTGTACCTAACTTTAAGGTTATTTTTATCTGAATAGAAGCCTAGGATTTTCTTATTTCATAGTTGAATAATGAAAGGCTGTCATCAATTTAAGCCTGAAGAATATATTGGGTGAGTCAATTTAAGTGTGAAAAATATACTGATTGTTTCTAAACACTTCTAGTGCATTGATGTTTCTAAGGTGCAGTAAATGCTAATATTCAAGCCATGTCATACTGTCAAAACTGCAAGTGAGACAACATAAGACAAATGTGTTTCAAGGTCAGGAACAATGAGCTTTGGTGAATTTACCAGAAGGGTCACTGCAGCTGAGAATCAGAAGCTGTAATTACCCACAAACAGATATTAAACGGAAGTTCGGGAATTGTGAAGGCATAAAATGGGAAGAAAAAAAGGGGGGGGAGGAAAGCTATATAAGAGGTTTTCAAATATTTAGTGTCTTTCATGTGCATGCCTGTAATAATGACTGTATGTAATAAATATACAAAATCACTTTTTTTATGCACAGATATGTTTCTTAGTGGCGGAGTTATCTTATAGGTCACTGCTGTTTGCTCTGAGAGACCTTGAAGACTGCATGACTTCACCTTTTAACCTTGAGTGGATGCACATAAGAGTGGAAGTGACATACAATGTTAAGCATCTTTCAGATCATAGCAGCTTCACAGGTAATTACAGTCTCACTTACTGTGCCACACTCCAATCTTGACACTTGCAGGGTGAGGAAGTGGGACAATGTAGGGAAAGCCATACAAGGTAAGAAGGGGCAGAAACAGACACATCTACTGTGTATAGCATCAGTTCAGGGCATACTGGCCACTAGCATACTTGTGCAGTGCTCAGCTGAACTGAACCAAAGCAATTGTGTTGGTATCTCTACAGAACAAAACACAATTTCAGAAGCTAAACTGACACCAAGTAAAATAATATTACATCTGATGAAGACAGTGAAATGGAGCCTGCACAGCCAGTGTAGAGTATGTACTGAGTGTTTTGGCCGAGGTAGTAGTTGCTGATTCATGCTATCACTCCTTTAATAGGCGAGACTTCCTGCATTCCTCACAGGTCTCAAGATTAATAAGGGTCTTGTACCACACATATACTTTAAGAACCTCTGTTTTTGAAGCTGCAATATTCATATTCACCAGGCACCAATGTAGGTTGTATGAACTCTTGAATGCCCACCCACTAGTAATAAAATATGTCCAGCCACTCAATCATTAGCAAAGCACATATACACCCACACATACGTGGTCTGTCCAAAGAGAAACGGAACTTGTTAAATAGGGCGCCAATGAACCAACACAGTTGGCTTGCAACAGTGGCGCTGTGTAGCAGTGATGTTAAGCTTTAACCTGACATCTGCCTAATCATGCCACATCAATTAGTCATGGAGTATATGCGGTAGAGTAAACCTGTCTCTTGTGCCTTTTGCGATTCTTGCAAGCTGACACCCGAAGGATCTTGAAGAGCAACGTGTTTGCATTAAATTCTGATTCAAATTGGCAAAAACTTTTACAGAGACTTTTCAGATGTTTAAGCAAGCTTATGGAGAGGATGGTTTACCGTACACAACGTTACTAATGGTACCAACGTTTCAAATTGGGCAGGAAGTCCACTGAAGATGATCCCAAAACTGGACGGCCCTCCACATCAACGGACGATGATCACCTTGAGAAAGTGCATGCTGTGATTCATGAAAATTGCCGTCTAACTGTCCATGACATTTCTGAAGAAGCAAGCATCAATAAAATTCGTGCCACACAATTTTGACCAAAAAACTGGAGATGCATCATGTTGCTGCAAAATTTGTCCCACATCTTTTGACAGATGAGCAAAAAGCGAACCGTGTCACAGTCAATCAGGAGCTTTTTGATCGTTTAAATGCTGATGAAAACTTTCTGAAAAAATTTCGTAACAGGAGATGAAACATGCGTGTATGGGTACAATATTGAAACAAGGGCTCGATCGTCACAGTAGGCGGGAAAATCATCACCTACTATCCAGATTTGGCCCATGTGGACTTTTCTTTTTTTTCCCAAAGTATTTTTTTTATTGCTAGTGGGGTGGGACTAAGTCTCTTGTAATGATGTGGCCACTTCTGGCCTATTGTACCAGCCCCAGATGATAGGTGAGGGTGATTGTGGAGCAATTGGTGGAATGAAGATTGGCAGGGGAAACCGAAGTACTCAGAGAAAACCTGCCCCAGCGCCACTTTGTCCACCACAAATAACACTTGACCAGACCCGGGATCGAACCCGGGCCACCGCGGTGGGAAGCCAGCAACTAACCACTTGAGCTACGGGGCAGCCCTTCCCAAAGCTGAAATCCACTCTGAAAGGTTGCCGATTTCAGGCAATAGAAGAGCTAGAAGAAAATTCGTTATGAGACTTACGCGCTATCCCACAACACACGTTTCAAGATGTGTTCCAGAACTGGAAAAACGTGTACACATAGTGGAGGTGGTACTTTGAAGGAGACACATCTTATTGAGTTGTAAGCTTATCAATAAATGTTTTAAAAAGAAAGTTCGTTTTTTTGGACAGACCACATATACATGTACATACGTGTACAACCTTACAGACAAGTGTACACACAGGACATTTCAGAAGCCACTTACTCATATTCAGAGGGGCTGAAAAGATGTAAATTTGCCAAAGTCTCCAGATTTAAATTTTTTCACAATCACAATACTTATCACATATGGCCTTACTGTACAGTGGATGATAGTATTTCTCCAGTTTTGTATGTTACATGAATATGTTCATTAATTTAGTACCAAAATAGAGGGAATTTAATGGAGCTCACCTGGAGATATTTATGCATGAACCAGGCAGCAGTTTTTCCATCATTGACAGATTCTACTGTCGTTTCTGAAGTCCCTGCCAAATCTCCACCACAGAAAACATGGGACTCACTGGTCTGCATTGTATTAGGATCAACTTCTGGGAGTCCCCACTTGCTGAATCTCAATGGTGCCATGGCATCCTTCACTTAAAGTAAAATTTGAGCATGAAAATATGAACTGGTGGAGCCACCACCATGGTAAGATTAAGAGCCAATTGTTGTAGCTGTTCTTCTAGAAAGTGTCCCTCTAAAACTCCAGCTCATCATGAAGAGCTCTGTCCCTATGCACCATTGCAGAAAACATGGCATGCCTGTGAGATCAGTGGTAATGAGAACCAGAACTGAGACAAAGTTCAGTATGGGTAGGTTTACAGTACACATTATGGCTCAGAGAGACATCAGGGCTATTGAAAAAATTTATGTTCTAGAAGGGAAGGTGTCCATCTCTTTCTATCTCTATGGTGGACATGCGAACAGTGTCCCATGTACGTGACTTCTCCTACCCTCCGCAGTTTGCTGCCCCAAGACATCTATGACATCTCCCCCTTGTTTCCATATATACTTCACCTAATACAACTTCTGTGCTTTTATTTACGGTATTTATGCTTTTGCCCAGTATACTAACATCATCAACATACACCACAAGCTGATGTATCCCATTAATTTTCAATCTCTCTTGCTTTCTTGAATATTCTTAATGGAATGTGTCACAAATGCTGAAAATCAGATCAAAAATCCACACTGATGATCCCCAGTAACTTCATTTACATTTGGACTTAACCTTGAGACAATAAAACTTTGTATGAAGTTGATAAAAATGATATGGCCTGGTAATTACTATAGCCTGCTTTATCAGCTTTCTTATAAAGGAGCAGATTAATGTAATCCTTCCACTGCTGAGGTATTTGCTCCTTATTTAAAACATAATTAATTAGTTTATGGATCTAAAAACACAATTTTTCATCCTGTTTTAATTAAATCTATCAGAACCTGATCAATGTCACACAATTATATATCATGGAACATGTTCTCTGACTTCCTGACTGGATCAATTCTGCCAGATATTTGGTGATTAATATTGTCAAATGATGGTGGCTACACAGCATGGGTTCAGGTTGTAAATGGATTTGATACTGAACATTCTGTCTACAAGTGATTAGAATAGTTTACAAGTATTCACAGAGGTTCAGTCCATTAAACAATTGCTGAGTGGTTACTCTGGTACTCAGTCAACACAGACATCACTGCTGGACACAGGCTCAGACTGCAAGAATGATGCATCACCTGGGATACTTCTGCATATTGCATTGCTGTGGACCACCAAGCAATGCTGAGCTCACCAGCATCTCAACTGCTGTGGTTGGCAAAGATTGGCATTTTTGTTGTCTAGTATGTATATGACTATTTTTCCAAATACTTCTGCAGTCCCTAAGTTCTGAAATTTATGGGTTCAGGGTCACTGCTCACTGTTTCCTCCATAAGGATGCTCATCCCAAGAAGCTTCCAGATATACTACCATTACCTCTGCTCCAACAGGGCCCTCTTGCTGTGACCATGGCCACCATCAAAAATCATACCACAACACCATACTGGTGCCTGCAGGCAGGGCCATGATCAGCAATGTCCTTCCATTCTGGATGTCACTCGGCCCCACACTGCTCCATCCTTAGGGTGATACATTCTGCCCAACATGGCCCTCTAGAGGGCACAAGCCCATTGGCGTACTTCTACCCTTAGTGATCTTCTGCCATCCTAGGCTATCTGCCACAACCCCAGGGGGTCTTCCAGCTGTGCCATCACAGCTCTTCCACATGAAGCAAGTACCATCTCACTGCTGTCCTTCATATGGGGGCAGGCACATGATTGTGTCTGTAGGGATCACAATGGTACTCTGTCCTTGCCCTGTTGTGGCACATGGTACCTCAAATCAACAGACACATCATGGCCATGCAAGACATCCAGCCTTGGTAACAAACACCCAGGTCCGCAGAGGGCACCAGCCCAAGGTAAGTTTTGGTAAAAACTCATTCAAGACAAGGAGGGTCTTCCCAGATGTCACCTTACAGAAGCATGCCACAGCCAGCTGGTAGTCCCTGCAGCAGCCCTCAAGTGCTTCATATTGCTTCTGCAGGGATGCTATGCAGAGCATCAACAGCCTTCTCCCAGACTGCCCAATTGCTGTGCTCTGCTAGGGCATCAAACTGATTATTAAACATGGACCCTTTGAGCTTGGTACCTTTACCCTATCCACACTGGTTACTGCATTCCCACTGCCTTCACGCCTCACTCAGGCTTCAACCTCCACATCTGCATTCTGAACTCCCACAATGTGGCTTCTACTAGCATCTTTAAAGCGTGTATTATCCATACTGAGATTCTCACACATTTCTTGGTGGTTTCTTCAAATTCATCTAGGCAGAATGGATGGAGCTCACTTATAATGCCTCCATTTTTTATTGGCTGGCCTTCATTTTAGGCCTCCATATTTACCTGGTTGTCCCATATTACAGCCTCCATAAGGGTGCCTGCCCTAAGAAGCCTTACGGTAAGGTGCTAGTCAGTCTGGGTGGACTAGTGTCATCCTTAGCCTGCCGAGAGGCTCCTGTTATGTCCATACTCTACAATTCATAACCCACAATCCAACAATCCAGCAATCCCAATTCTGATGCTGATGTCATGTGACAGTGACTATACAACAGAGGTTCAGGCTGGAAATTTTTTTTACACTGTTTACTATTTAACTTTGTAGCCACAGACCTTGTTGCAAGGTTGAAGGCTCAGACTGTGACAAAGATGCATCATCTGGGATGCTTCTGTACATTGCACTGTTGTTGGCAGCCATGGCAGGGGTAAGCTCACCAGTATCTCAACTGCTGCATTTGGCAGGGACTTGAGTATTTGCCACCCAATAAATGAATGTTTTTCTGACAGTTCTGTGGTCATCATATTGAAAATTTTATGTGCTCTGGACACCATGTCAGAGGACCTCTTCAACTTTTCAGTGGCAATCATACACTTTCTTAAGCCTATAACAGTATTCTGTAGTCTACAACTAGGATTCTGTTACAGCCCAAGGGGACAAGACTTAGTATACCAAATGACAAGAAAAAAAAATACTGGGATTCTCAGGAACAGGGCTTAATGGCTCCACCCTACATTGTTGGTGTGCATGGTAGTGATGATTATGACGGCGACGATGACAACATAGGTGATATACTGTGCAACCGAACTCCAATTTTCCTCCAGTATCTGTCAATTGCAGAATATTTGATCAATCACCGATTTATTACATCAAAATCAATATTTATAATTCCCAGTAATTTTGCCTACGTATGGAATTAACCTTGAGAAAAGAATGTTGGATAAAATTTTGTGGGGACAGCTGATAACAGTGATACTTCTTGATATAAATTACTGCAATTATTTTTTTTTTAATTCGCTTAGTGGGGGGGTGGAGTCCAACTAGGTCTGCTCGGCATAGCGGCCACTGACTGGCCTATTGTAGCCTGCCCCAGGTGATTAGAGGATGGAGAATTTGGTGGAATGAAGATGGGCAGGGGAAACCGAAGTACTCAGAGGAAACCTGACCCAGCGCCACTTTGTCCACCACAAATCCCACTTGATCAGACCCGGGATCGAACCCTGGCTGCCACGGTAGGAAACCAGCGACCAACCACTTGAGCTATGGTGCAGCCTTAAATTACTGCCATTCTTCTAAATCGTTATAATAATAGAGACCTTCCACTCCTGTGACAACTCTATTTTATTCCAAATATATGAAACAAAGTCTCTGGATCACAGAACATAATGTTTCACCTCTCTTTCAATTAATACCGCATGAATTAGATGAACATCTGGCAATTTATAACTCTAATAGTCTCGGCCACAAAAGAGCTATTCTCAGGTACTAATAACTTGGCTGTAGGTATGTTGATGTGCCTAAGTCATTACACTCCATGCACACTCAATAGCTGACAGAAGCAATTCTTCTTCCACCTATTCCAAATGTTGTGGGAATCTGCAGGCACATCACCCTCCTGATCCTTTAGCAAGTCAGTTCTAGGTTGGCAACCCTCCTTGAATTCATTTATGTCTCTACATAAGTCTCCAGTATTATTGAACTTACTGGTTGTTTCAAGCTGATCAATTGTGTTTTTTCCAGATACTCACTTCTTTTGTTCCTGAATTTTGTATTAGTTTTCTCTCATATTGCTCAGACGCCCTCCATTCTTTTGGCTCCGGTCTTGTAACCACCAAAATTTAACTTTCTTCCTTTGATATACTAATTTTGAACATTCTTCCTCAAAATATGGTTTACGCTTCTTCAGTTCATAGTAACAGACTGCATATGGCTGACACATATTGTCTCTGAGGCATCCACAGCCCTGTGTAATAGTTCATGACATGCTCAATTACAGTGAGCAGTTGACAGCTCTTGCCCAACCCCTGGGCTGTCAGCTGTCTATCTCTGCTCATTCAACGTATGTATCTGCAACTACGTTCTATATCTGTATGCCATCTTTCCCATCTGCAGTTTGAGGACTTGCCATGCCATAGTGACAAGAGGCACACTTAATATAGACAAACTGATTATGTAGAGGCAATAACAAGTGAATGTGGCTGAACTCTTGTGCTGTACATGCAGCTCCCAACACTGTTTACTTAGTTGTGTTAAAAATCGAAAATGAAACTACACTGTTCAAACTAAGCATTACTAACATTACTCCATTAAGCATATTCTTATGGGAACGTGATCTTTCTTTAACAACAGAACGTTGTTATTGATGCCACTGCTGCTGTTGCTGCATCGTTTTGTTAAATCACTGGTCAATGTGCTCAGTTTCATGCTTTTGTATTTTCAGGCTTCTAACTCACCAGTTGCAAAAGGCTGGCAGAAGAAATGGAAAGCAAAATTTATGTGGGACATATCAGTTAGTTCTTTCCTTGCTAACCCCATGTGACAAGTGTCATGTGAAGTCAGCTAGCCATCATTTTTCAGTCACAAGAACTCTTCTGGTTGTGTTGTTGATTTGCATAATGAAAAGTTAAAATGCATTATCCTTATGTATTTACTGTTATGCCTCAGAGAGAATACTGATAGAGATGTTCATATGAAATTATACAGGAATATATTAGTGAAATACAACATCCATTCATCTAGAATTAAACTCTTGACTCCAGAAATTTCTCGAATGATTGAAGTACAAAGACATTACATTTCAGTTACCTTACAACAGTAAGTGCAGTGCAATGTGTGGCATTAAATCTACTGTTTCACTGGCATTACATTTTTCTGAAGCACATTACGAGTAGTGCTCAACTATACACAACAGTTCTCTAAATAACATGCAGTTCACATCACTGAGCCCAAAACTTGAATTATAATTCTGAGAAATGTAAAATATTGTGACATGTTGACCCCTACCTCCCCCCCGCGGTGCGTGGCGGTGGCGTAACGCTCGCGTTCTTACGGTAATAGGCGAGTTCCCGCCCCGCCACTCCCCTCCGCGGTGACGTCACCGAGGAATATCGCGGTCGCTAGGCAACGCGCATCAA